AAGACATACTGCTTATTGGGGTCACGATACATACGCTTGGGTAATCCCTCCTGGTAGTTCTCAATGGCAATCTCGTGTACTTCAGGTTTCAGTTCAAAAGAGATCCTGCGATCATCAGAAGACTTCTTTGCGCTGGCTATCCTCGGTGAGGTATAATCCATAGAATCTTCATTGTCGCTATCAAAGAAGGAGTCAATGGTAATGGGAGTTGCTTTCTTCTTTGGTGTCTTCTTGCTGGTTCTTTCTGAAGATGCTGAAGGCGATTGATCTGCATGTAGGAATTTACATTTGCTTCCGAACGTGCAGGTACCCTTTTGCCAATTCCAACATATCTTCTTCTTGGGTCCAGCTGAAGATGAACTTCCTCTACTTTTCCCCCTTGATGAATCTCGACTTCCGCTTCTGCCTTTCTTACCTTTCATCTTGGCATCATAGACCTTCTGAGAATGACTGTAAAGACATTTGTCACCTTTGTTGCATCCTCCTTTATTGAAGAAGTAGTTACAGAAAATCTTCTTCTTGTCAACGGGTGAAGATGATCTTCCCTTCCCACCTTTGCCTTTCTTGTTGTTCTTGTCGGCATGGGATTTCGGAGAAGGTGTTGGAAGTACTGATGCAGCTTCACTCTTCGCCTTTGCTTTAGGTCGTTTGGGAGGATCACCTGTAGACGATGCAGCTGCTTCATTCTCCTTCTTGGTCTTAATGGGAGCAGCAGGTTTGTCAGCATCTTCCAGGGCAGGCGTCGTCTTATTAGAGGACAATGACAGTTTCACTGCACGTTCTCTATCTTTCAACAGTCGTTCTTGCTTCCCTCGTGCTATGTATCCTTTGATCATACCAGTTAGGTAAGCATAGGTCTTCTCAGGATGCCCTTCATCAAAGGTTTTGTATCGGTTGATATCAAATGCCATAAGCTTTGAGTGTTCAATCTTCCGGAACAATGTATCACGCAGGGAATTGTTGGAAGGCAGATCATCATGTTTCATATTGTATACGATGTCAAGCCACTTGTTGTAGAAGGCCTCAAGTTGGTCATCTCCATAGTAGTTGAACATATACAAATGATGGGCGTTGTAGAGAACTTCAGTGTGGTCAGGTGACTTGAAGCTAATCAGTATCATTGCGAACAGTTCTCGTCCCTTGATGAAGTCCCCACTTCTCCCATACAATTGGTTCTTCATGGACATGTCATACTTCACTTGCATGGACTTGTCCAAAGCATTGTCAATGACTTTCCTCAAGGCATTGGAGAGCTTGGCATCAATGGATTGAAATCTCACATCAGGTGCTTTGGCCAGGGCCTCCAGGTCAGGTTGATCTGCAAGACACGGAGCTAGCCACGCTTTCCAATCTTCATAGTTTCGATCTCCACTTGCAACACAAACTTCATGAACAACACTTCCCTTCCAGGATGAAAGTTCAGTGGTCTTAGGCCAGGGTTGGAGGCTGATCTTTTCGGCTTCTCTTAGAGATACGGATGACTTGGATCTATCCCTCTCAAGGTTCTCCAACTCCTTGACATTGGTGTTGTACTCGTTCCTGAGTTTCTCGAAGGCTTCAGCTTCTGCTCGGCATTCCTGCTCTTCATCGTTGGCGCGATCTTCAGCTTGAGAGAAATTGTTCTTGTAGTAATCTTTCCGATCTTCCATCTTCTTCAACTCATCTTGAAGATTTCGAACTTCATTGTTCCTCTCTTGCTTCATCTCGTCCAACTCTGCTTTCAGTTTGGCACACTTCTCTTCATATTCATTCCGAGGCATGGCATTACTGGGGTACCCATGTAATGTAGTCGGTCTATTCAATGATGAAGAAGAATGAGCCTGGTTTTCCAACTTCAGGGCAGCGATGGTGCTTGACATCTCTTCTACCTCAGCGAAACGCTCATTAGCCAATTGATGCATCTCGGTCAAGTGGCTTTCAGGAATGGAATAGTCAGTCGCACCTTTGATCACGAGTCTTCTGTCGTTCAACATCTTGATGGACTTACCTGCATCCCTGTGAGCACGCTCAAGAGAGTCCTTTTGGGCTTCAAGTTCAGTATGAAGGCGAGCAATGGCTGTATCCCTGTCATTGATTTCATTGTGCAAACTGTCGAACAAATTACTCGTCACATTCGGATTGCTACTCATGTGATCGATCTTGTTCAGAGCATCTTGATACTTCTTACCAGTTTCATCGAAATGTTGCTGGAAGGTTTTGAGCAGGTTCTCAGTGTCAATGAGTTCAGTTCTGTTTTGCAAGTACAACTTGTCAACTTCAGCCTTGGATTCTTTCAAGCTGTCACGCTCACGTACGGCTTGCATATACATCTCGTATAGTGGTCCTCCATGCGGTGATCTGCTTGGTGAAGATCTTCTGGCTTGTTGACAGGAAAGTTCATGATACTGATTCTTCGATTCAGTCAGTTGTTGTTGCATTCGATCTAAAAGACTTTGTTTCATGTGTAGTTCCGAACGTAGTCCCATTATCCTCATGTCCCGCATGCCGCCTGATTCAGCTAGAGATTCTTCAGAAACCTTGTTCTCAGAAATCGCTAGTCGAGATTGTAAGTTTTCATTGTGGATCACCTGCAATCGAAGTTGCGATTCTTCCAAAGCTAAGTGATGTTCACATTCTGCATAGCGGTCATGTTCAGATCTTATGTTACTACGGAACTCCTTCATGATCTCGTCCCTCTTCATGTCAGCAGCATCGAGCTCAGTTTCCAGTCGTCTAACGTTCATGGCCATGGTGTGCTTCATTGTTTGGTTCTGATTGGCAACCTCGAGCATCTCGATTTGTAAAGCACATGTTTGGTCGTTAGCGTAGCCGACCGCTAGAGCTTCTTGCTTGGCATTCATCTCTGCGTTTTCCAGTTCAAGTCTGAGTTGATTGATGTGAGCATTCGCATCAGCGCCCACATGCACCATAATTGCGTTCGCTTGTCCCATTTGTTCATCAAATTCCGAACGTAGTCGTGAATATTTGAATTCCAAATGAGATGCAGCTTCATTCGACATAGTCTGATACCTCTCCAACTCTTCGATCCTGTAGGTCGCACCTTCATCTTCTTGTTGTGCAGCCTGTAACTCGAAGTTCAGCATCTGGAGTTGTTCAGTCATCGACATCATCTCTTGATGAGTGGTGCTTTCTAGGAAATTAAATTGTTGATAGGCATATGCTGTCGTCTCAGTCAATCTTGCCTGAAGTACGGATTCTTCTTCAGTAGCCTTTTCCAGTGATGCTTTGTATTCAGCTAATTCGCTCTGATAGGCAGTGAAGATGTCGCTACCACTTGACGGGGCGTTCACTTGCTGATAAGATCCTGTCCCTGATGGAGTAGCGTCCTGAATCGGCGAAGGCGGATTCGACGACGTAGTCTTTGCCTTAGTCCTTGGAGTCATCGGAGGCGACAATTGTCGTGCAGATGATCTTCTCTTTCCAGGTGTGCTGTCCCTATCTTCAATTGCTTGCATTGTCGAAATTTGTCTCCCTCTAGGAGCAACCAGAGGTCGCCTGGGTAGGCTTGTTCTCAGTTCTGAGGCATCGCTTCCACCAGTGTCGATACTCTGTGAAGAATTTGACTGCGTGCCGGCAGCTGGTGCAACGGCATGTCCAGAGAAAGAAAATGCATTATCGCTGCTATCCTGTTCAGTCATCTGTAAGGCCCGCGGCTACCCGCTCGTAGGCTCCGTAGGAGTCCTACGGCTGATAACCTGTGAATCGGAGGTTATCTCCCCGATTATGTGCTGTTGTTTGATCTTGAGGTTGATGTTCTCAACGACGACGACACGGGAGTTGCAGTTTCAGCATGGCGGCGTTTTCTCTTGGCACCTGCAGTGATCTTGAGCCAAAGGAGCAGATTGATGCACCCCTTGGCGGTGGACAATTAAGAGCTGAATTATATGGGAGTGTGCAGTGATCCGTAGCCTACACTCTACTCGCAATATATATGGAGTTGACATAAAGAGATCAAGATATACATGTGTAGATATATTATATATGATTGATGTGTATAAATCAAATATAATTATTCTATATAATGATATAAAATGTTGTAAAAATATATATGCTATATTCTATATTATACGTCATTATGCTGTTATATCATATATATATACACACACACACCTTTGGGGGTTTCACTTGAAAGCTGTTCACTGCTCGGGGTGACCGGTGCAAAAAACTCTCTACGCGCAGCGCACCAGGCGCCCACTGGATGAGCGCCCGGGCGCAAAAGGCGTGTTCTCCCACGAGCAGAAATGCTTCATAATGATAACAATAACATGCCTATAATATGTATATATATATGTATATATATATATAATGTATAGTAATATCATCATTGTATATTATATATATACAGTATATTGTTCATGTACCTGGTAATGATGATCGTCAAGATAACAAGAGTAATCATCAACACAAGAAACATCAAGGATGATGACGAGTAATAATAACAATAGTCACAATGAGATGAATATGATATGAATATCAACATTCTTCAACCAGTAATACGGGATTGTTTCCCATTACTATGCTGACAGTTGGTGGTTTCAACATTGTTCAAGTGCTTTTTGTTATTGGATTAATTGGATCATCCCAGGTTAGCAACAAACCTTTGAATGGGATCATTGGATCATTGATGGACATTGATGGACATTGATGGACGAGTTTTTGATGAAAAAGCTTGAAATTTTTTAAACCAAACTGAAGCATCTGAAGCCTCACAAACTTCTGCCAAATGTCGATTCTTAGCGAATTCCCAATGGATATCTCTGCTCGTAGGTAAGCTGAGCTGTGCGCTGGCACCCCAGCTGTGTAGGGCACCCCATCCGAATGGACTGTTCCAATCTCCGTGGATTTGAATGGATGTTTCCTCTGCGAGCTGATCTTGTGGTCTACTGAGGATTTCCAATTTGAATATCTATCTATCATAGTCTATCATAGTCTATCATAGTCTATCATAGTCTATTAACTATATAGTCTATCATAGTGTGGCTTACCCGACCCTCTTACCGCTTACATGGATCGCGCAGTCGCGCAGTCCCTGCCCCGGAGTCTGATCGGATGGTTCCAGGATGTCTGCGATGCCGCACGCAGCGGCGCCTTTTTTGCTTCCGAATTTCAGGTGTCACCTGACAGAAGGAGCGCTTCACCTGGACCTTCTCATGACATCGACAGTCTATGTCTGTCAAATCATTCTAATGATTCTAATGGGCTAAACCCGCTAAATCCAATAGAAAATTCTACTCCATTGACCCAATTTCACCAATTTCTGTGGGTGAATGGATTAGCCGAAAACATAGCCCTGCCTCAAATGCGATGGATCCGGCGCCTCAGCGCAGCGGGGTTCCTGTGCCAATGTCCGATTGAATGTAGTACAGATATATTAACATGCTGATTTACAAATGATCATGGGAATCATGCCTTATTATATTGTATTTTATCAACCTGATGATATTTAGATGCAGCTTATTTAATATAATATATATATAAATACATATATATATATTGTACCATTATATACTATATCAGATCCGGTTGGAGAATAACATGATTTACGTCTCCGGCTCCACTTCTCATCTCAGTTTCCGGGCTGGCTCGGCACTGCCTGAAGCGTGGTCTGAAAATAGGGGATATCATGGATATCGGGATACCCATCAATAGCCATTTCAACACATTTCAATAGGGAAAATGATGATAATTGAAATTGGAATTATTGGAATGGGGGGAAGCCCATTTTCAGACAAACCTGTATGTTTGTACCTCCAAACATCCATAAAATGTGCGAAAATTGTGGGTGGTTTTCCCGACATGTTCCAACAAACATAATATCTAATCTTTTTATAGTTTCCTGTTATCTCCCAAAAAAAAGGAGAATAGATAGATATTGGAAAGTTCAACAAATTGAGTGCTATTCAGCTTCGACACAATACCCACCTTTCTTTCCCTAATCTGCCTGTTTGGGTTCCCATTTGACCCCCAACCTCGGTGATCGTCCGCACATCGGCTGTGAAGTCGGTGCAGACCTTAATGGCCACAGGTTTCATCGGTTTCATCCTGCTGGAGCGCCGCGTTCAATTGGGGCTGCGGCAGCTTCCAAACTCGCTAAACGCTTCGTAAGATCGCAGGGCTCCACTTGAAGCTCCTGGCAAGGGCTTGTTGGGCTTGTTTCGTAACGATACTCAGAGGCAACTACGTAACTACGTAGCGGCTGCATTCTGGTTGAGATGCTCACAAACCATCTCATGTTTGAGGCTACCAATGTTTAAACCTGCACCCAAATATCATGCAAAGGAACGATAGCCATCCCTCTCAGACCCACTTCGTCCCAGCCTCCGTCCAAATGGCCTGCCAGAACTACTGCGTGAAGTCTGTGTGTACAACATGTATCCAAATCATACGATAGATCTAATATAGTATGTATTCATAGAATTTCACAGAATATAGATATAAATAATATAAGTATAGACATAGATGTAGTTATAAATTGAAATCAAATGCAGAATCTGTGCGTCTGCCTCTTGGGGCGCTTCTGGCGGTAGCCTCAACTGGTCACTGATCAAGGATGGAGGTATCATGACAGGAATCATACCATAAACCCCCCAACGAAAATGTAGGTTTTCAATGGGGGGTATCATGACATTTCAATACATTTCACGGATCTTCACGGCATTGTTGCGACATTTCTGTTGGTCTTCTATGAGAAGGTCATGATATCAATGCATGACCTGTGCTCTTGACAATGAGAAGGTCATGATATCAATGCCTGACCTGTGCTCTTGGACAGCCAGCGATACCAACTATGAAGTCGGACTGAGCTAGAAGGTTTGCAACCCAACATGAAAGCATGCAAGTGATCTTGCATCAAAAAGAAAAAACGGTCCTGCCATTTTGTAGAGTAACCCCAAAAAATGAAGGTACAGTAATCATAATGTGTTGGTAATGAAAATAACAACAATAACAATGATAATGACCATCATCATCATCATCATCATCATCATCATCAGATATAGCCTTTCTAATGGCATGCTACTTTTCTACCCTCTAAAAAGGGTTTTTTTTACATGTTGCTCCGAGGTGTTGCTGAGACACGGATGAAGTGGTGGAGAAGGACCAAAGTAGTAGGACTCTGGGGTCGCCAAGCCTATGCCGCCGGATGGGACGATGGGACGAAAACATCATGGGGAGCATGGAAATTGGCAAATTCCCCAATAACCACTAATAACCAACCTAAAAGTTGAGAAACAAAAAAACCTGTAGGGTAATTCCAGGGTAAAGTGGAGAACACTACTCCTTTCAAATTCATCATTGCAGGGAGCCCATTCGATGGCCACATTCGTCGTTTCATGGTGAAGTGCAGCGGTGAAGCCCTTGCGCGCGCCTTGTCCGTACCACATCCAGGGCATCGGCAAATCATGCCTGGGCAAGAGGACAACGGTTAGGGCCAAAGGGTGATGCCCAGCATGCCATGGAATAGAATGGAAGCACCAAAAAAAGTATACCAGGTTTCTCCGTTTCTCCTGTTTCTGCAGGTACTTCCGGAAAATGCCAACAAAAGGGCCGCCGAAAGACTACAATTTTTGTAGTACCGCAAGACCGGTGCGTGGACACGCACCCTTGAAGTTGTTGAGCATCTCAGTTTTCAGATGTTTCCATGTTTTTTTGCGTAAATTTCCAGGTGATTCATATATTTCCATGTGTTTCCAGATCTTTCCAGATGTTTCTCCTGTGAAGATTCCAAAAATCCTCTGGTTTCTCCAAGCTCATCACGGAGGAGTGTATGGAAAGGCTCCTGCCTGCGAGATTTGCTGCAGATTCGAATAGGACGGCTGTCCGAGTTATTCGAATGTGGTTCTTCTTTCTATGTTTGTATGTCACTGCGCGTGTATATACATATGTATATATATATGATACAATATGTATGTATGTATGTATGTATGTATGGATGTATGTATGTATGTATGTATGTATGTATATTTATTATTATTATTATTAATATTAATACTATTATTATTATTAATAATTGTTATTATTACTATTATTATTAATATTACTATTATATATATACGTATATATAAGTGTGGAATGCCTGGATGAGTAGAACCATGAAATCATGAAAATCCCTGTCAGAGACAGTATCAAATCAGTCGGAGATACCTGCGCCACCTGGCAGTTTGAACTTCTCTGGGGATTTTTGTTGGGAACTTCTCTGAGACTTTGCAAGAATTTGCCATGAGACCAACAATTAAAACTTAAATCACTAGAATTTTTATGTTCTACACACGTGTTTTTATCAATTTATTCCATGTGCATGATTTTGAGGCGACTTGTGCGTATTGCTGTTGCTGGCTTAGATCCCAATTTTAAGAGACTCTTGTTGAGTCTCCCAAGAAACCAGAGAGGAACCACGGCCAAACATGCCAAGGGCCGCGTCTAGCACATTCAGTGCATTGCCTCAAAGTCACATCTGGCTTCCGAAAGTTTTTCTCATGGCTACTCCAAAATCGGTGAATTGGTGAATTGGTGAATCAGCTTAAGTTCCTTATGAAATCTTATGAAAATAGCCATGAAAAACCGCGCTTCACCCTGGTTGTGCTGAGTCTGCCACTGGTCGCTCGGCCTGCCATGGTGCCATAGCCAAACACCTGATCCTGACTGAGGCCTAACAATCCATCCATCCATCCGACACAAGCCCTGCCTGGAGTAGCCACCTACAACGTCCAACAAAGATGGGACATCTCATGCCATGATCACAGAAAAATGGATTAATAGATGGATTGTCTTCAATGGTTTAATATGGTTTAATCATGTTGTTTTAGGTGATTTTTAGGTGACTGAATATCGTGATGTTACATGAATTTACCCTGTAAATACATGTTATATTGTCCAAACAGGAGATGAGGAGATGGAAAGATGACTGGGCCCCACCTCAGGAGGGCCCCAAGGATCCGCCTTTGATTTGGGTTCCCTCAGGTCTTCTGGGCCATGAGCGTGATTGCAACGCTCGCCCTTTAAGCATCTGCCACGTTCATAGAAGTGGCACATCCTCAGATTCGGGCGACCCACCGTGACCTACCAGGGACCTGGGGACCTCCCTGGGGACCAGGCTGGGTTTTGTAGATCCCATCTGTAACGCGAAGTTGCACCTCTCAACTTGGTGAAAACTTGGCGAAAACTTGGCCAGAATTCGCTGCTGGAAGAGTTTCTGGAAATGGAGGTGACACTGAGGTGTCCACTTCTCCATGGGCATAAACGCAGTTCTCACCTCCCAGCTGAGAGCTTCGGTTGGGGGGGATGACTCGGGGATGACTCTAGTCGCAGTCTAAGCAGTCTAAGCAGTCTAAGCAGTCTAAGCAGTCTAAGCAGTCGCAGAAGGACTTGACTGATTGCACCACATGCTGAGTTTTCTGATTGCTTTCCTGGAGAAAGCCACCTGCAGAACAGTGTCCCTCCGCATAGGCTTTGCACAACTTCCTGAGGATGCCACATCACTGACACCACTGGAATACAAAGATGCATTGATCTTTTGATGCAAATTTTCTCGACGAACATTGGTAAACCCCAGATACCTATCACACAAGAACTACCATCTAGCTCTTTGCGTTCCAACTTTGGTGATCTTCGCGATGTTCCACTGATGTTCCACTGATGTTCCACTGATGTTCCACTGATCCGCTCGGTTTCTGACGTTTTTTGTAGGTCTGGCGCACTGCGCAGCTCCGAAGCACTGTGCGCATAGCGGCATGTGGCACCTGATGTGAAATCTGGGATGGCCACAGGTAAGGCTCCTACCGGGAAAACAAAAACGTTTGGAAAAAATGGCCAGCTCAAAATAAAGCCATATATATAGCAAAAAGTCTATATAACAAAAATACATATCATATACACAAACTAATGTAATAAATTCAATCAACTCACAATATAGACAATTATAGATGGTCAATTCTGCTGGCTGCTTGGCCGATGTTCCTTGTCTCTGAGGTCGTCGCTCGCACATTTTCCTCGCTCGAAGAAGTAGCACATCTTCCTCAGCGTCGGCAACACCACCAAGACTTTGACCTTTGAAACACGAAGAGAACGACTAAGGACTAGTAGATTATTGATGATTATTGGTGATGATTGATGATTATTGATGATTATTGATGATTATTGATGATTATTGATAATTTTTGATGATTATTGATGATTATTGATAATTTTTGATGATTATTGATGATTCTTGATAATTTTTGATGATTATTGATGATTATTGATGATTATTGATGATTATTGGTTTTTGGAAGGATTCATAGCCAAAATTTGACCTGTTTTTTGGTGCGGCCAAAAGTCTCCACGATTCAGCCACCTTTCATTAGTTTCTTCATTCTTAGCACATAGGTCAGATATATTCACATATCTGTTTTGACCTTACGCGTTTGAATTCTCAGCTGCGCACGTTTTCATAAGCCTTGCGGTCACTGCATTCTCTGAACGATCGGATGGCTTCACCTGTGCCAAAACTTTGGGCCGGGGACATTCGAAAGTTTCTGACACAGAAATTGAATGGGAAATTGTATGAAATTGACATAAATATCCATTGAAATTGACTGTTGATATCTGTTGATATTTGACTGGGAAGGTTCGTGCACCTCTCCAGGTTTCTTCGGTGCCTTGGGCATCCGGCCTGTCGAAACCGAAAGCGATGCCTATCTAAACAGATCTAAACCTTACAAATTCTCGGAAAAAAATGCTTAAGAGCTACAGATCAATATGTTTTCTCACTAGACTCACTAGACTTCACGGATCTTAATAGATCTTAATAGATCACTTACTAAACCCCTCAAAGCCATGCCTTTCCCACCTCGGCTCGCCACGCCGGGCTTCATGACTTCACCTGAAAAGTTTTCAGCGCTTTCTCGTGTCGGACATGTCATGATCTCATCCAAAGTCGCATCAAAATGTCATCTAAAAAATATTGTTCTTCAGATATCATATACATACATATAATCAATATGTAATCATACATACATAATCAATCATAATCATGTATAATATCATATCCATGTATATATATATACATATATGCATAGATATTGTTAATGTTATCATATGTTGCCAAATGAATGTATGGTAAATATGATGCCAGATGTTTGTGCAGATCCCACCTGGCTTCTCTGGGCGTCGCTCGCCCCGCTCGCCCCGCTCGCCCCGCTCCGCCGCCATGGCGCCTGGTGCCTGGTTTCGATGATCCCATTGGAATCGAGATGGAATGAGATGGAATGAGATAAATCTGGTAAATTTGGATTCATTTGGGAATTTGGGAGAGGAGCTTTTTTGGCAGATCACAAGACATTCACAAGACATGCACAAGCGTTCGCAAGACATTTGCAAGACATCCGGAAAAAAAAAAAACAGCAGTTGGACTGTCAGTTGGGCTCTCTTGGGATGCTGGGACCGATGTAGAGACACTGGGATGGTGCTCAAACACTGACGTTGGTCCGGAGCAAAGGATAGCAAGAGACTGTTATCGAAGCATGGCCATGTCGTTGGATTCCTTTGTGTACCACATAAAGCATGGGTCCAAAGATGTGGAAACACTGAGCAATCTGAGCGCAGCAGCCTTCAGCGACTTTTCGCATTGGTCAGCATGCCACCGTGCATCGGAAAGAGCTGCAGAAAGGTGGAAAATATGGAAAATATGAACAAATTCTGGTGCATGTTTGATACACTCTGTCGAAACCTCTTGTGTTGCAAAGCTCAAAAGACCATTTGTTGCCTGGCCAATATGAAGAAACAAAATCTGTGCAACATCTGGACCGCTTGAGTCTTTTTGAGCGCGGTCTGGGAAGGCTGCAGCCCTTTGGGCGAGCAACCGTGCCCGGCTCACCTGACAAACGATCATCCACTATCAAAGATGTCAATGTCAGTGTCTGTACATACTTTTCTATATATGCGCACAGATGGATATATAGTAGTGTATCTATATCTCTATATATATATACAATTATATAGTATTGTATATCTTATATGTAGTCATCAACCCCAAAATCATTTTTTGAAAAGGCACTCCAACCCATCAGCATCCTAGAACAACATCCGCCTTGGGTGAGAAGCATCGTCGCGAGTCACTTTTCCGCCGCGTGACTCGGCAGCCACCTAATCCGAAAGTTCGGGTTTCAAAATGATTGATGGGATTTAACCATCAGTTATTGTAGTTTTATGATAGTTTATATAATGATTTTATGGTAGTTATAGCAGAATCAATACCTTCCAGTAACTTAATGTTACCTCTGGTATCGATTGCCCATTTAGTTCGATGATTTACGACCGATGTCTGGAGAACATCACCCAACCGAAGCAGCTCATGCTGAATGGTGACCCTGTGGCTTCAGGTTGGAACCCCAAGGAGCTGATTCAAACGCACCATTTCCTTGACGACATGATACAATGTTATACTACATGTACATGCAGTTGTGATGATAGTGATGATGCAATTACTCTCTCTCTCTCTACTTTTTCCTTGAGATCTCAAGCAAAGTTCATCCACCTTCCAGCACGTCTCATCTCATGATCATCTCATGTTGGTGTTTGATGGTTTTGTATGGTTTTTGTGTCGTTGTTCACCAATGTTTGGCAAGACAAAGCTGAGGCAACGCACACACCCGGCGCTGTCGGATCGCGATATCCCAACGCCATGAAGGCCTCGGAGGCTCAACGCTTGAGTTGCGATGTGTTTTGTCTGGACGTTGAGTTGAAAAATGTTCCAAACATCATCAAAGAAATACTAAAATCATCTAAAATACGGTAACCGGATGTTAAACATCCCTCAATAATCGTTGTATATCGTTGTCTGTAACGGAAGCGCTCCAATCGCCAGGTGATCGCCAGGGGTTCCAGGCTGTCTTGTCCCACGATCTGATGGGTGTCGCTTGCTCCGCCACCAGATTGTACCTGTCGCGACACAGTGACACAAGACAGGTCGGTAGGTCGGTAGGTCGGTGGTCAAGTGACCTACTTGGCCAAAAAATGAGGACGTAATGACGTGATACTTGAAATACCAGAAGTTTGAATTTGGAAATTGAATCTACTTGGAACCTGCATTGCTGGAAGATCATTTCTTGCACTTTGATCTACAATGTTCTAGGTGTTCTAGACCAGATATGTGTTCTTGTCACCACTTTCCAGACTCAAAGATCTCAAAGTAGTCGCATGGCTAGCTGTCAAAAACATGCCAGCAGCACTTCACAGCCGACCAGTTGCAAATCTTCGGGTGATCCCAGGTCTGGAAAGGTTTCAGATGGTTTCAGGCTCGGAGTCGGTCTCAAATGTATTATGAAAACATATGAAAACGCGTCACAACAACAACAGAACCTGACAGAACCTGACAGAACCTTAACAGGTTTGACTCAGTTTGACTGATCCCAAGACGCTCAGCATTGGACCCACATCATCCCACATCCATAAATCCATACTCTAACTGCGCCTTCGACACTCATACCGCCGACCTAGCCTCTGACTTTACTCCTGCTGGTGGCAGTGCAGTTCGCAGGCGAATATCCTTAGACAACGCGGGTTACGGCATGAAGCCGAAGCCGAAGCCGAGGCGACAAAGTTGTTCGAGGATTTGCTGATTGCAGCAGATTCTGATATGTCCGATTTCCCTCGATTTCCATGTCTGGATTCAAAAGCATTCTCCTGTTCGAAACTCCAATTCCAATTCATTCCAATTCATTCCACTGTTCCCTGCCACTGTTCCCTGCCACTGTTCCCTGCTGTTGGTGTTTCCGGAGCTATGTCAGCTATGTCCTATGTCAAGCTTCCCCAGTTGCCACCACCTCGGGTGGCCTCAATGTGGTGCTCTTCGGTGGAGCCTGACACAATTTCCACAGCCCCGGTGGAACCCGTGGAACCCGGTGGAACATGAGATCTTCACCTCGGGCCACCGCCGCAAAGTACTCTCCTTGGCCAAATGATGAAATGGCCAAAAAATGAGAAATGAGAATTATGGAATATTATGGAATATTCTGAAAATTATGGATATGATCATTTATGAATTTATGAACACTATGGATTATGAAATATTATGAATATGAATGATATGGAGATGGCGAAAATCCATGGAAAAGTCATCCTGAACCTGAATGGGAGCAGGGACTAGCAACTACAGGGTGGAAATCCATGTCCCAGAGTGACTCTGTCTCTGTCTCTCTCTCCCTCCGCACAGGGTCGTCATTTGGGTGCAAGGCAAGAGTCATGACCAGTTATACCACAACTAGTCACCAGTAGGTTCTAGTGGCCTAAAACCACTGAATGGTTAGAATTTTTCTTCTGAGACCATCTTTGCCCAGATTCTGAAAGCGAGCGCTGCATGAAACCAGGAAAACTGGTGACCTGGTAACTTGGAAGCAATGGAACATGACCGTCACCCACCAAAGCCTTACCAAAGCTATGGAGCGTCGCAAGGCCCAATGGCTGCTAAAGTATGCAAAGGACATCAAAGGACAAAGTCTTCCGCGTTTTCCGTGGGGTTTTCCGTTTCAAAATCGATCAAGGCCACCTACCCTGCGGGACCCTACGGGATCCTGCGGGATCCTACAGGCCTGGGCCACTTGGAGGTGTCGAAGATCATGACCTCGTGCTATGCCGTAGTGGATGGTCTGATCACCTAAGCTGATCGCTGTGCGCTGCGTCGAGGGCGGCCCAGGAAGTGATTTGGATCTGCGAAGGCACGATCGAAAATGCGCTCACTTTTGTGCCTAAATGGGCCTCACAGATATCAGACTTCTCATGCTGTTCATGAGGTCATGAAAGTGACACAACAACGTCTCTCGTTTCGATTTGTGCGTGTCATCCTTGTCTATGCCATGCCCATGAGTAGGCTCCACATATTTTCACACTCCTCCTTGAATCTTTGATGCTTGCTCAAGGATTCACCTCTGTTTTCAACGCTTAAGCCCAAACTTTGTCTTTGAGCTTGCATCTCCAGAGAAAATTTCAAATTCATTGTAACAGGCTTTGCATATCTTGGATATAAACCAAAAACCTGTCAGCACGCTCATCAAGCCCTCTGTTGCGATGATACCTGTATAATCTTTGAAAAACACCTCTGATCCTTTGCATAACACTTTCTGAAAGACCCTCAGGGTTGTCACCTGCACCTGCATCCAAGAGTGTGATGATGGCTTGTTGGATTTGATTTGCTTCATTGAAACGTTCTGCACCAAGAGCAATGTTCTGATCTGCACGCATGTGATCCAGCAAAGCGTTCATACCACTAGGGGATCCATGCTCCACAATTTCATCGTGAGTGCTGCTCTCTTCTTCAGCACCTTCAATATTGCTGTTGTCACCACCTGCAGCATCATCAGGTGGATCTGTAGTTTGCGCACGTGTTCTCATATTCCACAAAACAAAATTGCCACGCTCTTGTGTCAGCATGTGAGCCCTTTGTTCCCTTGTCAATGACTCACAACGTACAAAGCCACCATATTCCATCAATCCATAACGCACACAATTGATTTCCTCTTCCAGTGAACCCAAAGTTTCAGTTGTCTCTTCTTCAAAAACTGCCATGCGCGCAACCACTGCATCGTTTGACTCATTGGCTGCATCCAACCTGTCATTCAACATTGCAGCATAGTCATAGTGATCTCCAAGCTGCACTTGTACTTGATAAATCTCTCTTTCCATGCCACTCATGAGATTTTCCAAACTGCTGCGCCATTGTTGCAAACGTTTCCATGCACGCCATGAAACCATACCAAGCACTGTCAACGCACAAGTGAAAAGAAACACCGTAGCAAAAATCCAGAATCCATTCCAGCTTGAAGTGCCCTCAGCATCAGGACAAACATCTGGTTGTCCCATGGCACCCAATGGCTCAAGGCCCATCACCAGTGAAATTCTGTAAACTGCTTTTGCTATCTTTCTGATCTGCGCTGATCCACCAACTTTGGCTTGGTGTCTTGCTGACTCCTCCTCACCAACATCCTCAAATGAGGGGATATACACAAGTCCAGTTTCATGCATGAGATAGAGGAGCCTGGTGCGTGTAAGGACCTTTGTTGCAATGTCTGACACATTCTCAGCAGTTGGAACCTGGCGCAAATCTGTAGATCCATCTTGAGTACGTTCTTGGATCCACAAAATCTTCCCTGACAGATGTCTGATGCGGCCTGCTCCTTCTCGACATGCAAGTTGCCTTGCACTTGAACTGTCAGTGTACTGCACTTGTTTGACATCTTCACCCAGAAGAAACTCACAGCAAGCCCGTATGAAAATTGCGTCACTCATGCAGCTCACCATGGAATGCAATTCACTTTCACAGGATGACAGTGAGACAACTTTCTGGTTGCGGCTGCTACCGTAAATGAAGGACCCGTTCAAAAAGTGCATACCACAGCTTGTTGACCTTCTGTGGTTTCTATTTGAGCTCCAGTCAGCATCGCTGTAGCTCTCCAAGATCCAGTTGGCGTCACACCCTGCACTGAATTTGCCACTGCCAGGAAAAGGAATATGCAGTCTCACACCAATGTCACCCAATTGCTTCATGAATCCCACAAGCTTACGCAAATGACCCAAAGAAGCAATGGTTGGAGAAGACATCACTGAAGCTAATTCCTTGATTCCAAACATCAGGTCTGGGCGCTCTCTGCTGATGTAAAGGCAAAGTCCCACTATGGAACGGAAAGCACTTGCGTCCTGAGCACTCAGCTTCTCAGAATTGTCAGGCAACTGTATTGAACTGTCACAAGGGATTTTCTGCTGCCTGACTGCACCAAAGTGTTGTTCAAACAACCTGATCACCTTTTCCACCGTTGTACCTGGAGATAAAATGAGACCATCTTCCACCTCAGTAATTCTCCTGCGCAAGAACTTGATTGAAGTGCCAGGTCCATCCAAACATTCATGTGACACTGAAAACTCATTGCCCATCTTTTCCAAGAAAACATTCCAGAAAGACTTGCGCCCTACAAACAAAATGTCGTCCACATGGATGAGAATAGCACCCTGATCAGTTCGAGCCATGCACGGTTGGACAGAGGAAAACTCAAACGACATACTTTTCTGCAAGAATGCTTTCAAGTGCATGAACCACTGTTTTGCTCCCAGTCTCTGGCCGGGCAAGTTCCTCTTGATGACATAGTTCTGATTTTGCAACTGCACAAGTACCGGCTTGCTTTGTTCAACCTGTAAGAAAGCATCTTTAACATCCAAGCACCCCAAAACAACGTCATACTCCTCCTTGCTCTTCATGGCTTCTGCTTCCCTCTTCATCCAGAGGTACTTCAGAGGAAGTAGATTTGAGGTATGTGCCCCTGTTGCAGGGCTGAATGTGTCAAGCCGTTTTGTCGTTGCAAATTCTCTGGCCACGTATCTTGAACGGCGCATCCATCTCTTACGCGTCACATTCTCACAGTAATCTTTGAGCCTCCAATCCCTCACAAATTTGGTGGTGAGGCGTCCATTGATCTCACCATGGAACTCTGTTGCAGGGATGAGCACCTCCGTCTTGCATAAGCGCTCGATCTCAATTTTGTCAGCCAGATTGTCAATCCATCTTTCAGGAACTCCAGGCGCCTTGTCTACTGCAGCATCACTCCAAAGCTCCTCAGGAATGCCTTGGAGCTGGACTGTTTCTTCACCAGCCCAAACTTCATCTTCGTCCTCCAACTCCTGTTCCACATCCAACTCAGATCCATAATCATCAGCTGTGAAGTACTCCTTGTACTCGATCTGGACTGCAGAAAGGCGCTTCTCATACTCAAGTCTCATCTGATTGATCCTTTGCTTCTTGGCCTCTTCCAAACGCTGTCTTTTAAGAGCAGGATCATCATCATGCTCTGTGTCCCTGGTTGTTGGTACACCTCTGGGACTGTCCACCAACACGTACTCTCGAGGAGGCGTCACTGGAACCATGAGACCTGGGTCATCAACTTCAGCTGCCACTGCCTGTGAACCTGACGCTGCTGCACTTTGAGCTTGGACCTCCATAGGCAAACTTGACGATTGTTGTACTGGAACCACATCCTGCTGCTTCTGCTCCTCTGATCTCTGTTGCAACGCAAGCAGCAAAGGGTCATTGGCTGCCATGCCAACGTTTTCATCTTCCAGTTTCTTCTGTTTCTCAGCATGTTCAATCACATCTTCTGCATCTTTGTCATGGAGTTTGTTCTCTTCAATGGGGCCCAATGGAACTTCAAAGCTCACAGAACGAGGTACTGGCTTCTTCATTGTCGGCAGGATCCTTGCACCAAATCCTGACTGGAACTGCCAGCTGAAGCACCTGCAATGCACGTAGTATGCCAGATGACCACGCCAAGTAGTGCTGATACGACGGACTGACTTGGAAAGGACAATGGCTTCACCGTCAAAAAGCACATAGCTGTTTTGCGTCTCAGCCTTTCCAAGAAAAATCATGCGCTTCCACTTGGCTGTAGCTTTGGTCAAGGGGACAACGTACCCATAAACTGGCTCCCCAAATTCACACAGCTCACCAGTGAAAACACGTCCAAAAGCAAGTTCATGTGCTGTAGCACCACGTATCACTGAGAACCTTGAAATCAACCAAGCACTGTGACGCAAAGCCCAAGACCATATTGCAGATGAGGTCTGCAACTGAATGCCAATGCGGCCATGCAAATTGTGCATCAAACTGCATGCAAGAGCTCTGACACGTCCAATCGCATTTTCAGCTAAACTGTTTCCTTTGTCATATGCAATGGCTGAAGTCTCCCTGGTCTTGAGTCCCATTGCCTGTCGCGTTCTGATGAACAGGTTCTTGATCTGCAAAATGCTTGGCTCATTGTCACAATGGGCTATGATCTCTCCATGGCCCAACATCTGAACAAATTTCACCAGCTCTCTGTTTGCATGATCCAGCTGTGATTTGCGTTCCAAGGGAATGCACGCAAGGAAATTGGTGTGGCTGCAAACTGCTATCAAAGCAATCACTGACTGTGCATCACCCTCTTGACCAGCTGTACCATCTGACTTGGTGTAGAAGAAATCAAATGAAATTGTAGGCACAGCACCTGCATGGGCCTCGCCTGTCCTCTCGTGGCGCGTTGGTCTGGCCCTATGTGCCAAGCAGCTTGGACACCAGCTAGCAAACGGTAGGTGTGTCAACCTGTGCTTCTGCTGTTCATATTCTGTTGGAACCTCTGCAGAAACTGGTGCCAATGCATCACGACCTTGTTGCCTTTGTGCCTCTCTTGCAGCTGCTGAAATCATCTCCAAATCCAGTTTCTTTGAGTGATCCAAAAGACGCTGAAAACATTTCTGTTTTGAACCAGAACTGGAAAGACTGTAGAAACAGCATCCTGCCCTCAATGCTGCAAGAGTACTTGTAGACCTGAGCAAGGTCCCATTCACGTTGACTTCATCCTCAGGGCTTGGACGTACGATGACCTGTCCTTCAGGTATTTCCTGGCCTTCAACCTCCAGGCTGTCATCAGGAATGTCTGCATCTTCATCGTCATCTTGTCTCACTGGAAAAACTACTGGATCACCATCTGTCAACGTAAAACCCAAAACACGTGGATCTTTTCCTGCATCTGAAATGAACGTGATGACATTCCTTCTGCCTTGCAAACCGTGAAAACCAGCATCCAGTTGAATCAAATCTTCAAGCTTCTCACAAAGCTCAGTGACATACCATTTCTTGTCGTTGCCCTCAATCAGAGTTGTCCTGAAAAACTTACCTGACAAATCAGGCTTGACCAGCAGTGGATCCATGTGACCATCTGAGAAGTGTCTGCCAATGCCACAACCTCTTGAGTCCAATTCCCATCCTACTGGCCCATTGATGACGCTGTCCAACACGTCAGCCTGGATTGCTCTAACCTGCAAAACGTCCTGCTCATCCAAGCTTTGCTGCATCACTCTGATTGTGCCATGAACGACAATGGATTGATTTTGAAATGTCACTGGAACCTGAACACCAGCTGAGTTGTTGACCAGGGCCTGCAAGTCTGCGTCAATGCCCCAGCCGCTCTGAAGCAAATGCCCATAGCTAAGGATGGGCTGACCTACCCTGTCAGATATGGCAACCTTTTCTCTGAGAAGAATGCACTTGCCGTTGACATCTTGCAAACGCACTTCCATATCTTGAACTGCATCAACAGGAATCTCAGCTCCTTGCGCGTCAACCAACTTGCCTGAAACTCCTGCTGAAGGTTTTCCAAGCCCAAGCAAAGATCTTGGAAATATCGACGCATCTGCTCCAGAGTCAATCAAAATTCCAAACTGTTGTTCACTTGCACTAGCACTCAAAACTGTTCTTACACAACCACTGGAAATCTCATCAACATCGCAATCGTTCAAACTGTCACCAATGTAATGATAAATCGCACACACACCACCATGACTGTTATGAGGACTTGAATCACGCATATCGAAGATCAGTTCAACATGTTGTTCAACATCATCTCTGACCTCTTGAATTCTTGAAACTCTGTGCTGTGTGGCTGCTGCTGGCGTCACTGGGTTTCGAGCTCCAGACTGGAATTGTGAAGCACTTGAAACTCCTCCCAAAGAAGACGTGGGAGATCCCTGGATCGCTGTTGAGGTTGCATTCACATCTGAGCCCACCTGACGTACCTGACTTGATTGCCAACAGTCCTTGGCAAAATGCCCTGGCCGGCCACACACATAGCAAGTTTTGGGCTCTGATTTGCCCTTGCCTTTTGAGTCATTTCTCGCATTTCCTTTGCCTTTCTGGTCATATGATTTTCCTTTTCCTTTGCCGTCTTTTCCTTTTGACTTTCCTTTTGACTTACCCTTCTGACCACTCTTGTCTTTAGACTTCCCTTTTCCCTTCTGCTTTCCCTTTGACTCCACTCTGTCAATTTCCATTGGCACTGGACCATCACCTGCAGTTGCTGTAGATGAATCCACACCCAGCACCATTTGTTCAGACCAACGTGTAGTTGAGCTGTCATACAACAAGATCATCTCACGCACTTTATTGTATGTTGTCTGCTCTGTCACCTGAAGTTGTAACCAAGTTTTCAAATTGCCAGTGATGCATCTCATGATGATTGCCGTTTTCAAATCATCACTCAGCTTTGAACCAAGGCGTTCATACTCCATGTATGCGTTTTCCAACTTCAGCACTTGTTGCATGAGGGAGGTCTTGTTGTTGAATGTAGGCCAATTCATAATCACATTCAGGAGTCCCATACTACGGTTCTTTGAAGCTGGCTCGTTCTGAACCACAAGCATGCGGTAGGCCTCCAACCCATTTGAGTTGCCAACCTGTCTGACCACCATCAAGGGACGCTGTCTGAGAAGGGAAGACAACATGCTATACAAAAAGCTGTTGCGCTGCCGCTCTGCATCACTGAAGTCCACCGGGTCAATGGTCTTTGAAGGATCCTTTCTCATCTCTTGTATATCGTCTGAAAATCTCGTGTCAACTGAGGCCATGTATTGCTCAAACGTCCATGACCATTCTCGCCATCCAGCAATCTCTGACTCCCTACTGGAGTGATCGTAAACAGGAGGTTTAGGAAGCAATTTCCACCAGGATCTGTTTTCTTCACCACCACCATGAGATGAAGACTGAGCCATTTCCACAGCTCTAGTTGCAGCTTGTGCTGCAGCTGCTGCAGCTTCCACGGCCATCACCATGCGCTGCACAACATCTGATCCCTCTGTCACCCCTCCAGCTCCTGTTGGTGAGCCACCGGGTGAACCTCCAGGAAATGGATTTGCTGGACCTGCTGATTCCATTGTCACTGAACACGCAAGATCTCAGACTGACCTATTGTAAGGAAAATCACCTGCAGAAAAACCTCAATGTCAAACTGCACAATTGTCCAACGCTCTGCACAAGCTTCCAGAAATGAAAATGGACCACCAATTGCACCTGCTATCCAGACCTGTATAATGGACTTATGTCCCCAGTATTTCCAGAAAACTGCAGTATTTGCAAAATGTTTTGATCCACCAGTTCCCAAGCCAGAAAGCGCAAAGATCACCAGAAATGCGGTTGCCCAATTATGGGCTCCGCTACCATGCGAAGGCACGATCGAAAATGCGCTCACTTTTGTGCCTAAATGGGCCTCACAGATATCAGACTTCTCATGCTGTTCATGAGGTCATGAAAGTGACACAACAACGTCTCTCGTTTCGATTTGTGCGTGTCATCCTTGTCTATGCCATGCCCATGAGTAGGCTCCACATATTTTCACAGGATCAGAGTTGATCTCCCATTGTAGGCCCCTCAGGAGCAGGCGTGTGCCGATCAAGGACTGCGCTCCAAGCGTCCGCTGTGTCTGCCGAGGGGAAACAGTTGGGAACAGTTGGAAATCCCCTTTGCCGAACCAAACCACAAATCCTGTGCAGCACACTGCGACTGTTCGGACACTTTGCAACAATAATTGCATGGTTGCAACATTTGCGATGCCACTTGTTGACTCTTCCTCACTGGTTTTTCGCCGATCCAACCCTAGTCTTCTGAAATCAGGAAAGTTTCATGAGGTTTCAGGCAATGTTTCGCTCAACGCACCTCATGGCTGTCGTTGCTGACCTCAAAACTCAGAACGTGGTGGCTGCACACGTGACACTCGACGTGACACTCGACGTGACACGACAGGAACAAACCACTCGACTCTGAAACTCTGAGGTCCTGGACCAAACCACTGACGTTCAAACCCCGTCGCATTTCCAAAGTCCGTTGAGTTTCCCTGACAACGAAGCATTCAACGAAGCATTCAACGATTCAATGGGCGAATTGGAGATATTGACAAATACATGCTGTTGGTAATTAAACCACCGAGTTGAAACGAACTGTTTCGACTGTGAAACATTGACATAACACAAAGAAACTCGCACATGAGAAATCTGTGTGCAACATATAGAAAAGGTTTGTCAGAAAATCCCAAACGAAACCATTGAATAGCGCCGCAGTCTGGCCTGAGGCCGGACCTTAAGCGCATTGAAACATTGAATTTGCGAATTGTTTCATCAAAGTGGTTTCAATGACAGAAAAATAAATATATATATATATGTTATTTTATGTTCCATCTTTGAATAAATTCAAAATTGATCTCATATTTGGTCACATGGAAGTTGATCACAGACATATGTTGGTGCTTAGCCTTGCAAAATCACTCAAAAGAATCCTCATGACCCAAACATGGCAACAACATGTACAACACCTACTGTTTCGCCAAATTTTTTGTGGCAGTGACACCACTTGCAAGTCAAGTTACATCCCCGCAGCATGGTACCGCACTGGGTTCGGCTGACCTGACACAAATGTGAAGTGATCTCAATTGAGTGCGCCATGTGAAAGACCAGGCGTGGAAAAATATTGCACAAATACAAATTCCAAACACGCGTCTGAAATGTTTCTCAAAAAACATTCGCATCAAATGTTTTGAAGTCAGGATGGCCAATGGAAATGACAGCCCCCTTATTGGTCCAAACATGGTCCCCAAAGCAGACGAAACACGCTGCATGGCGGCAGAAGGCCCCTAAACTAACTTTGGTGGGCAGTGCGCAACAGACAACCAAAATTGTAAGTTGCATGCATGTTCTCAATGGTTGCAATGTCTTGGGACATGTGATTTGAGGGCATGTAGGTTTGGGTTGTTTGCGGTTCGCTCTTCGTTTTCCAACTGCCTGTCGGCAGCACATTATACATGCATTACTAATGTTTTGGCATTTTGTGTTTTTTTGCAGGTAGCAATACTGTATTGAATGTCACATACCAATGATGGCGCCTGCAGTGTTTGTACGAAACCTGCCAACTTGAACAAAACAGCGCAATTTTTTCAACAAAAATAATTTGAATCAACTGTGCCACGCAAAACTCTTTTCCACCATGGCCCAAAACATATTGTATTTTTTTTGCGAACTGGCATTGTTGCAGTTCCACGACTTGTCCGACACACAGTGTCCACCATGATCAAAGTCCTGATCGTCAACGTCATCATCGTTCATCCTTCATTGTTCATTGTTTTCATCATAATCACAATCATCATCATCATCATCATCATCGTCATCGTCGTCATCATCATCATCATCATCATCGTCATCATCATCATCATCATCGTCGTCGTCGTGGTCGTCGTCGTCGTCGTGGTCGTGGTCGTGGTCGTGGTCGTCGTCGTCATCGTCACAGTCACCATCATCGTCATCATCGTCATCATCATCATCATCATCGTCATCATCATCATCATCATCGTCATCATCATCATCATCGTCCGTCGTTGTCGTCGTGGTCATCGTCGTCATCATCATGATCATGATCATCATCATCATCATCATCATCGGCAGCATTATCATCGTCATTTTCAAAACAACAATCCTGGCTGGCTGCGCCCCAAATAGAGAAAATGGATACTGTACTTTTACAAAAATGATTGGGGGGTTGCTGGGCAACGCCGGTGCTTGAAAACCTGGAGCAATGGTTGATTGAACGATTGAATGGTTGAACGGGCCACCAACGGATTGCTACGAGTACGGGTGGTAATTTACGCCGCAGCCTAAAATCCTACCCCACATGGCACAGAGCTTACCCCACAACCTGAAGAACTTGTGCCATGGCCAAATCACCACCGCACACCGACACCTATATCTATACAGGTGCACATTGTTTTCATGAAAATCCTATGCGGACTGCAACACTTTGTACCGTTTTGTACCTGTCTTAAACCTGACACAAAGCGTTGCAAACCGCATGGCACACCATCAACTTGACCTCTAGAAGACCAGGAGCTCTACATCTCGTTCTCCTTGGCACCCTGGGAAAAATATACTCGCAAAACGCTTTTCCCAGTGGCACACCGGGAACATTCCAGCACTGAACAACACATCACAATGGCAGAGAGATATTCAAGGTACCGCTTGACAGCGTGATTTTTACGAGATCCTTACGGGGTCGTTACGAGATCTGTACGAGATCGGGAATTTGCAAGGCAAGGCAGCAGGGCAAGGCAGCAGGGATTTTTCCTACTCTTCCCTTCTCTGCTCTACGCCTTTCTAATCACTTCTACTCTTCAATTCGATTCTCTTTTCTACTTTTCTACTCTACTGTTCTCTCTTCTGTGTGAGTCAAGCTATTGAGAAACCATCCCCATGAGTTTCTATCTCAAAAACAGAACGGCAGCCCCTGGGAGTGCAGTTTTCCCATGATTTAAGATAATTTTTTGAGATGTTTTACTGATGTTTTACTGCACTCCCAAAGGCACTTTGACAACTTTGCCTGTGATTCATGCCAGTTTCCTTGCAGTACCCCACACTTGGGAAAAACCTTGGAAAAACCTTGAAAAAACCTGCAAAAACAAAAAAAACTTGGAAAAACCTGGGAAAACCAAAAAACCTTCGAATTAAAGGACCGGATAACCCCACAAGGCAATTTCTTCCAATAATGAGCACCAAATCTTGTAGCGGGGCAGGGAAGGAAGGAAAGAGAAAGAAGGCGGTGGAAGATCAAGAAGTAGACAAAGTTGTGGGTGACAAAGTTGTATGTGAAAGATGGTGTGTGTGACAAAGAAAGATGGTGTGTGTGAAAGATGTTGTGTGTGTGAAAGTTGTGTGTGAAAGAGAGCATGTGACAAAGATGGTGTGTGAAAGATGGTGTGTGACAAAGTGGTGTGTAAAAGATGGTGTGGCGAAAGATGGTGTGTGACAAAGTTGTGTGTGTGAAAGATTGTGTGGTGAAAGATGGTGTGCGACAGTTGTGTGTGAAAGATGGTGTGGTGAAAGATGGTGTGCGACAAAGTGGTGTGTGAAGCATGGTGTGGTGAACGATGGTGTGAGACAGGGCGGTGTGTGAAAGATGGTGTGAGAAAAAGTGGTGTGTGAAAGATGGTGTGTGAAAGATGGTCTGTGACGGTGTGTGAAAGATGGTGTGTGATAAAGTGGCGTGAAAGATGGTGTGTCAAAGGTGGTGTCAAAGATCGTGTGGGAAAGATGGTGTGTGACAAAGTCGTGTGTCAAAGATGGTGTGTGACAAAGTGGTGTGTCAAAGATGGTGTGTGACAAAGTTGTGTGTGAAAGATACTGTGTGACAAAGTGGTGTGTGAAAGTTGGGTGTGAACCATGGTGTGTGAAAGATGGTGTGCGACAAAGTTGTGTGTCAAAGATGGTGTTGGACAAAGATGGTGTGTGAAAGAGGGTGTGTCAAAGATGGTGTGTGAAAGATGGTGTGTGACAAAGTTGTGTGTGAAAGATGGTGTGTGACAAAGTCGTGTGTCAAAGATGGTGGGTGAGAATGTGGTGTGTGAAAGATGGTGTGTGACAAAGTTGTGTGTGAAAGTTGGGTGTGAAAGATGGTGTGTGAAAGATGGTCTGTGACGGTGTGTGAAAGATGGTGTGTGACAAAGATGGTGTGTGAAAGATGGATTGTCAAAGATGGTGTGTGACAAAGTTGTGTGTCAAAGATGGTAAGGTGCCGCGACGTCACCGGCGACTAAAACCGGCCCAAGCTCGCCACCAGAGCCAGCACAGTGCCATAAGCGCCACAACTGCCAGGCAAAACGAAGGTGGATGTGACCGAGTGCCACGCCTGCCACGCAAAACGAAGGTCAATGTCGCCATGTGCCATGCCTGCCACGCAAAGTGCCGCGGCGTCACCCGCGACTAATCCGGTCCAAGCGCGCCACCCAGTGCCATAAGTGCCACGCCTGCCACGCAAAACGAAGGTTTTAAACTGACCTTGTCCCTCACATGCAAACGGCATAGATATATACACATATTCATATAAATTAAACATTGCCGATATACGCGTCGTCGCATCATACGCATATATTAAAAGGGGGAGAACAACATACAACATCTCAAACTTAAACACAAAACAAATCCCTAGAAATAATGCAGCACGGAATGAATCACAGGAAAAACATCGAAACTGACGCCTTCTCTTTTTCGCTCATCTGGCGGACAAGGGTGAAATCCAAGTTGGCATATGGTTTGCATCTCCATTGTTCATTTGGTTCCTCGGCATTTGAGAAACTGTTGCATATATGAGAAAACATATTGGACTGCATGTCCAGGTCTCATTTGTATTCACCCCACCCATGAAGGGCGGGTACGAAGTACTTTGGGCGGGATGAAATTTCCACCAACTATTAGTTGATGGCCCACCCTACCCAACCCTGCATCTTGAAACGATAAATTCACACGAAACATAAATCATAAACATGACATCACAGAGTTGCATAACGACATGTGGATGCACCAGATAAACAAATGTACGCATATACACATAGACATATATACATGAATATGTCATGTGTTCACATATATAGGTAAGTGAAACGGAGTGCATAAATAAAAGCATTCATCTGAAACAATTCATACAGTTTGAGTTGTTTGTTTCATCAAACATTCTTTTCGGGACGCCTTTTTCAAAGGCTGCAAGGTCTTGTTTATAAACAGCTATTAGACAAGTCTAACTGCTACCTTATAAACTGACCTTGTCCCTCACATGCAAACGGCATAGCACGGATATTCATATATATACATATTCATATAAATTAAACATCGCCGATATACGCGTCGTCGCATCATACGCATATATTAAAAGGGGGAGAACAACATACAACATCTCAAACTTAAACACAAAACAAATCCCTAGAAATAATGCAGCACGGAATGAATCACAGGAAAAACATCGAAACTGACGCCTTCTCTTTTTCGCTCATCTGGCGGAAAAGGGTGAAATCCAAGTTGGCATATGGTTTGCATCTCCATTGTTCATTTGGTTCCTCGGCATTTGAGAAACTGTTGCATATATGAGAAAACATATTGGACTGCATGTCCAGGTCTCATTTGTATTCACCCCGGTCTGCTTCAGCAAATTGTGGACATGAGAAGGAGTTTCGTCATCGGACACACGGGCTCAACGCATTTGTATGGTCGTAAGAAATCAAGCTCCACAGTTGAGCCCCTACCCGGAGGATCGGCTATGTTGGACGAAGAGGGCACCCGCGCAACCCACAGCATGAAGTTGTCTTCCAACGGATCCTCAAGAAGCAAAAGCAAATCCCTCCACTCAGGCTGAAGGGAAGTGCCCTTCACAAGAACATCAAGTGCTGGCCAGTTGTCAACAAAGAGGATGACACGCCTCGATGATACATCGGGTTCGCAATGCAACAAAGAAACGACACATGCGTACAATTCAACAAGGCCAATCACATGAGTCTTTCCACCTTCCTGTCCAAGATACGGTAGGGGACCGCAGCACCGAAAATCTCACAAGATCCGTTGGGCCTCAAGAAAACGCCACCAATTGTAGCCTTCGGCTCACCATTGTCATATTCCAAATCTCCATCCGTAAAGATCAAAACTGGTCGTTGAATGTCATCCGCCACGAAAGTTTTTGGTCGGCCAGAGCACAACCGATCCTTCAAAACCCCAGAGGCCTTGACCTGGGACTCATCGAGAGGCACTCTCAATCGAAAAGTGTGGCCCAGCTCCCGCAGGTCCGCGAGAGCCAGACGCCCCACTCGGCCCCAGACATGCGAGTCAGCGCACTGGAGCTTCCCCAGCACAG